TGACGAAATCCCCTCCTGGTGGCAGCCAGAGAGGTTTTCATAAAGCACAAACCTGACCTCTCCCTCCCTGGTCCGAACCTGCCATGGCTCTTCGGTAACCCGAGCAGAAAGTTTAAGTTTCTTACAACATCCCGCGAGCCCTTGGGTGACCTGTCCCTTGCTGGCCCACCGGGTCCAGCCCCGTCTCCTGCCATGTGTCAGACTCTGTGCCTAAGCCACCTTGGACTTCGCCTCAAACAGATCTTATTTCTAAGCCTTTGGACATTCTGTTCCTTCTGCTTCTCCTCCCAAACACCCCTCCTCCCCGTGCCTCTTTTCTCCTGGAGAACGCCTACTTACGCTTTAGGCCTCAGCTCTGATGGCTCCTCCCCCAGGAAGGCCTCCCCGAACCCCAGGCTGGGTCAGAAGTCCTCCCTGGGCCCCCCATGCCTCAAGTTCCTGAAGCCAGACTCTGCACTATGTGGCCTGAGTCTTCCTGCCTCTTCCCTCTCCATCTCCCACCAGGAATAGGCTCCTATCTCTCTTCACCCATCCCAGGCCTGTTTCCCCTTCTCTGACCCGCCTCGGCCGACACTTAAGAATCCAAGTTGCACTTTAAGAGCAACTTTTATTTTTATGTTTATTTTTTGATAGGGGGAGGGGGAATCTGAAGTGCGCTCTGCACTGATGGCAGAGAACCTGATGCGGGGCTTGAACTCACAAACTCTGAGATCGTGACCTGAGCCGAAGTCGGACACTTAATTGACTGAGCCACCGAGGCGCCCTAACAACTTGTTTTAGAACCTTGGAATTGCCTTCTGGATCTTAGATTGATTCTTCTTTCCTTCAGTCCTTCCCTCTGTTTGTGGAACTCCTACAACGTGCCAGGCACTGTTTGAGGCACTGGGGGCACAGCAGTGGACACATGGCACACAAAGACAGACAGCAACCCTGACCTCACATTACTGGGGGGGGGGGCGGGGGGAGGAGACTTTGGAACCACAGAATCTTCGGGGTCTTAAAAATCTTAGACGCTTAGAGCGTATGTACATAGAAGCACAGGAGAGACCACGGATAGTTTCGGAACCTTCTGAAGATTCTAAAAAGAGACCATCATCCTGCTGTGCCCGCATCTCCCAACAGTCTGTTCCCCACTCAGCGCCCAGAGGCATCCTGTTAAAACTCAAATTAGATCCCGTCCTGCGTCTGCTCAGACCCTTCTGTGGCCCACAACTCACTCAAGGGAAAAGCCGAGTCTTTACCGGGGCCCCCTGGGCTCTGTCTAATCCTCCACCCCCTCCCACTCTTAGCTCCAGCCGCGCTGCCCGCCGAACACCAGCGTTCAAATACATCCGGGACACCATGGCCAAAGATCAGCGGCTCCTTCTGCCCGGAAGCTCATCCCCAGGTCTCCACATGGCTCCTCCTTCCTGGCCTTCAGGCCTCTCCTCAAACGTCACCTGTCCAGTGAGCCCTCTCTTTGGCTTTTCTTTCTCAAAATGCATCTCCCCGTCACCCACGTATTTCGTGCGCCCCACCCATCCCTGTGTTTTCTCCCCTCATCGTTATCACGTAGATTTCACTTATTATTTTGTTCCCTGATGTACACTCAGGGCACAGCTCAGTGCCTGATACATAGCAGGTGCTTAATAAATTTGTGTGGCACCAGTGACTGAGTCTAGGTGTTCCGATGGGGAACGTGGGGCTCAGAGATAGAAACCATGGAGAACTCAGGTCTCTACTTCTCAGGCCCTGGCTATTGGAATGCTCTGTCTGGCTGACTCTAGGCCCCAAGATGCCCAGCCAGACAGAGGACAGAAATGGGGTCCTCAGAGACCAGTGAGTATGACAGTCAGACGAGCAAGCGAAGGCACCAGAGAATAAAGAGAAAGGAATCATCCAGCCCCCTGACTAGGTTGCTCTTGGCTTCCCCAACTATGAGGGCTCAAATCTCCTTTATCGAGGCAAAGTGGATGAAATGATGATTTTGAAGGTGCGAATGTTCTCTCTCTGAATCCCATCAGGATGATACTATCAACGATTCTAGCCAATCGTGATACGCCAGACCCCTTTCTAAGCACTTTACACATAGGAACTTGTTTGCTCTTCAAGTTCTGATCACGTTTAGAGATGAGGAAAACTGCAGCACAGAGAAGTGAAGTCACTCGTTCAAGGTCACACAGCTGGGAGATGGTGGACCCAGATGTGACTCCCAAACCTGGCGAGTTTTGTCCAGTTTATTGTTTTCAACCAATAAACTCTGCTATCCCTCTTGAGTCCACTCAAGACAGCCCAGCTCTCTGTCCACCCTCAGCGAACATTCTGCAGGTGCTTTCAAAGCTGAATATGGCATATTCCGTACTTCAACCCATCAACTCTTCTGGGGACTCGGGAAGACGGAGGCAGTCATTGGGCAGGCCCTCCAGAGGTAAGCAGACAAAAACCACACTCACAACTTACAGATAGGTCAGGAGACCAGCAGGGGGTGTGGCAGAGGAAAGAGGGTCAGGGAAGGAGAGGACAGTTAAGAGGAGACTTTGTGTCTCTCCATGTCCCATCAAACAAGGGTCAGTGGATCCAGATTCCCTTCAGGCCTAGGTTCACCCGGCCTGAGCTCTGATCTGGACTGAGTCTTAGCTGCTGCATCTGCGGGGTGCGAATGTGGCAGGTGAAGAAAATGAGCGATGTGTAGGAACGGCTTTGGGGAGAAGGGCGATTTCCACCTGAGTGCTGGTGACACTGTGGGACTTCTTACCTCCTAGGCTGCTGTGGGAGCTCCCGGTGGGCGGTTCCAGACCAGCTCAAATGCACTGCTGAGGGAACAAGGACCAGAAAACCCCAAATCAGCCAATTTTGCACAAGAGAGTACGGCTTCATCTTACCTACAGAAGTGGCA